TGACGGTATGGAATAAAAGAGACGAAAACACAGTACCCGAGTCACGAGCCGGGGAGGCTTGCTGCTTGGGAATGATGGTACGAGCAAGGTGAACAGGAAGCAGAAGAGTTGATGGGAACCAGGGGTTACCGATCGAGTAACGCGCCTTCTCTCAGCAAAGGGTCGTTTACTCGTGCGTTGTGACTTGGGGCAGCTTTCACAGTGAAATTGAGCAATAATTTTCAGATTGTCTCATTGTTTGCCACCATAGAATCGAGGCCTTTCTACCAAACCCACTGCATCAATCACCCAGAACTCTTCCTCGCACGATGCTACCACCATATTCAGCACGCAATATGCATCTCAACTACGGCAGTAACCTAGGAAGCAGGTATGACGAAGAAGGCGACCTCGAGTCCGCGTTCTCCTCATCTCCTCAATTTTACACGGAGAGCCAATTCCGCGCACTGCCGCCCACACAGCGCGAACTGATTCGAAAGTCACACCGGCGCTCGTTCATTCGGTCACCACCGGCAATCATGATGCTTTTAACATTCCTCACTGTAGCTGCCGTAGCACTTTACCAAATGAATCACGATATCACGGAGGTCATGTTGATGTGGGCCGTTTTCGTACCGGTAAGTCGCTTCTCTATGCCCGTCTCTTATCTAGCTACGCCAAACCCATATGAAGAAGTTCTTACTGATTGATATGAGCAGATGGCAGCGATATTATTGCTGTTGGGGTGCTTGATTGCACACCATAAGCTTCCTAAGGATATGTCGTATACCGGTCGATCTGCTATTCATCATTTCACTGGATTGACATACGTGGCAGCTTGTATCTTGGCGTATATGCTGCAAGGGAAAGATCCAGATGATAAAAGGAACTTTGTGTTAGCAATAGGGATGTCTTGGTTCTTTGCTCTGCCGGTAAGTCTTTCCCTTCTGCGGCAGTAGAAGAAACATGTCGCGCACATTGAACGTTAACTAACGCACTTCTTTGTTCGCAGATTGGGTTCATCATCTTGAACATCGGGATCGTGTTACTTGCCAACGCATGCAAGAAGGCGGAAAGCGAAGAGTCGTCCGAATGACTAGAAGATAAGGGGTTCTGCCTGTGGCTGTTGGACGGTTGTTGACAAGAAAGGCAAGAAGGAAGACAAAGACTTGACGGGCACGCGAGGTCAGGTGAGTTGCATGAAACGTTTTTGAACAGATTAGGAAGGAATAGTTTGGTATTGCAGCACGCAACTGTAGATGGTTCTGAGGACGTGTCGGCAACTTTAAGCATAAGTTCGCTGCCTGTTATTGAATTAGCAATGTGTGGATCAGAACAGGGATAGGAACCACCTTACGCGTATAATTCCTTGCCATCGTCATAGGGGCGCGAAGGCGACCCAGCATCGACCTCCTTGTTCACTGCCGCCCGGCTCGAGATCGTTCTCTTCCTCTCCCCATAGATCGAGGCCGAAACCCAAAGCAGCCACATGATTCCAGCAATAACTCCATATGCGATGATCTGGCCCTGGCTGGGGGCGAATCCGGTAAATGCGGGTGCGTCCGATGCAAGCAGCAGGCCAAGGCCACCATTGATCATACCCAGTGTGATCAAAATGCGACCCAGCCAGAGGTGACCGTACGACCAGATAGTTCGGCGACTGTATTTCTTGAATTTGAGGTGGTGGACGAAGCCAAGAATGGGTTGGAAGAAAAGCAGGACAAAAACAATGATGCCAATAATCGGGTGGTAGTTGTCGAGCATGTTGACTGGGATATTGTTGATCATCCACACGCCGAGACCGAATGCTGCGATGTACACAACATACGCAAAGAGTTGAAATATGCCATGGACGATCCAGACACCGCGAAACGATCCTAGTCGTATGAGAATCGATCCAACTGGGAATAATAAGACAAAGGCCAGGGCTGCGAGGACACCATGGGCTACGATGATCTTATGTCGTGATTCTGATGAGAAGCCGCCACGGCCACCGCCAAACGATGAGCCGAAATCGTTGTCATCGCTGTCGCTACCTCCTCCAAATCCGCCTGGACCGTATTGACCACCGGGGCCGTACTGCGCAGAAACTGCGGTTGCTGCTATCATCTCATCAATTTAGTCCTCGATTTCCAGGATTGGCTTCATACCTAAGCTAAGCAGCGTCGCTCGTGTACTAAAAGTCATAGTGAAGATGTGGAATGAGGAAGACCAACGCAAGCTCGATTTGAAGGTCTACAGATCGATAGAAAGAAATATTGCCTACTTGATCTATTCTTACCTGCGACGGCTGATCTAACAACATCACCCACAACACAAGCCGAACAGCGCCAAATCGATGATTCACGTCTGGACGTGACACAGATGACGCTGTTTAGAACAGAAAATGGTCGAGCTTACGCGTTTCCGCAGCTTTTTCGTGTGTTTCGAGTGGTGGACATTGACATGCTAGTCTGACTTGGGGCCGGGGTGCACATGGTGGAGAGCCGGAAGTAAGATGTCGGCGAAACATGTTGGGAAAGCACCGACTCTCATGATGTGACGAGTGCCTCAGGCAGAAGATGTCGTTGACGTCGATACAGGATTAGTAAGGTCGATGAATGGAGGCTGGATGATTCAGCTATCCTGAGCACGTGTTTGCGCGACGTGCCTGTAGCCTTGCGCAGGCACGCGTCTGACTCGCTTGACTTGGCCAGCATTAGCATGATCCTTCGTTCGCGGGTGTAGGCAGCGACTAGGCGACAAGTCTTTGAAGCTGCTATTCCAGGTTTGCTGCGAACATGGCCGCTGGTCGGGTGCCGAACTGATAGTGAGAGGTGCGATCGCGATTACTGGTCACCCGTGTGGCTAGTGTGGCAGATGACGTGAGTAATGACCTTGGGAGCCTGTGCGAATGTCGTTCTCATCAAAAACTTCATCCCATGTTAACACATAGTATAACTTCCGGGTTCACGTTCACCGTCTAGTCGACATGGCGGTCGGCAACGTGATGTGGCATCCCCACGCAGCGCATCCCGTCGCCCTCGACCCCATGGCGGTCAGAGCGCGGTCGAGGTTTTCCATCCGCCCTCCGCGATCCTGGGCTGTCGCATGGCCAGGCACATGTCGGTCGTTCAACAGGTACAAGTCCTGCATGCGCTTGTCTGTAGTCATTTGTCCCCTGAGTTCGCGGTGACTGTTGCATAGCCCCAGTTTGCAAGAGTCGCGTGGTAGGAAGAGAAGGCAGAATAGCGCACCGCCACGGTTGTGCACATCACGCGCGCGCCCTTTGTCCGTATACATGTCGTCAGAGTGGTGAGTCGAAGAAGCAAAAGAAGGTGAAACAAGGAAATTGCGCTGAGTTGGAGCAAAGAGAGGTGAAGACTCTGTGGAGACATGAGTTGTGCATGCCCGCCGCGAGGATGACTCCTGCAGGTCCCGAATTTCGGCGATGCCATGTGGCCAATCATGGGCGGGCACGGGTGCAATAGTGGGCCCGCATTCGCTGTCATCTAGGCTGTGATCTAGCATCTTCCTTCTCCCCGTCACACCATCGTGCGGCTCTGAGTCACTCTGCAGCCTACTGACATCCTTGACTTAGCTTGTACCTGCATACGTGATTCAATGTCATCCCATGTATATAAGGCTGGGTAGGTATCTTGCTCCAATGCTTGACTCTCCTGAGACTATCAGCCGCCTTTGCGGCTTTTCGCCCCACCACTCTCCATCTCCCCTCAACCCTATTATTACTTATTCACACATCCACAAGAACTTGAAATAGACGACATGGGCAAACGTCACAACAGAAAACGAACTAGAAGCCGTCCTCGGAACCGCAACAACAACCACGACAATTCACCTCCGCAGGTCATCAACCACACTCGAAGCGAGTCGGTCAGCACTACCTCTTCAACTCTCTCCGCAACCAGCTCCTGCTTCCATCCTCAAGGCTCCATTGCGAGTGCCAATGCGAACCACTGGCAGCAAACTTACACCGCATGGCAAACCCGGCTTCGACTGCAACAGGAGCAGGAGCAAGAGTTGGAGACTCAACGACTGCGCATCTTTGGCGGACTACCGGAGGATGAGAGGACCTTGATGGAGCCGATGCTCAAGGTGGTCACGGATCTTTTCGATGGTTTCTACGATTACGAAGATCCGTGATGATTAGAGTGCTGGTTCTTTGCACATCTCTACTCCTTCGCATGGGCATCCATTTCAACGGACGATACATGTTTTTACGACGAACACGACACGAATTAACGACCAAACCAACGATGACTCTGGTAGCCAGCCGGAGGCGTGGGATATCATCTGGGCACGGACTCGTAGCAGATCAGACAGCACCTGCGTCGGCCCAACTGGGCCGGCCCGCAAGCGCTATCTGGTTGGTTCAACATTGCTCAGCCCTAGGACTCCGGCTTCACGCATAGGCGGCGGAAGCGAAGACAATGGTGGAAGAGACAGCTAGATGCACGCCTCATGCTTGTACTCGCTCGAGTCCCGAACTCGCGTGTATATGCTATTGGCTAGAGCGTCGCTGTCTCTGAGAACGGCGGAAAGGAAAGAAGGACGCGCATGCGTATTGGTGGAGGAGTCATCTTGCTTGGAAGGAATGGTGTATATCTGCAGCTCTCTGCAGGGCAGACAAACGTCCGAGTAGTTTATCAATATTTCTTTAATTAATCCGAACTTTACCCAAACATTTGGCTTCTCTTGTGGCAATGATGAGTTCTTTCCCTAGCTGCAGCGAGCGTGCTTGCCTTGCGCCGCCTCTCACCGTCAGGGTCCAGTTTTGTTGTCTTACTAGTCCGCATACAGCGTCTCGACTTGTTGTAGGCAAGAGCTTCCAAACTTTCTCTCCCTCACCTCTCCAGGGCTACCAACCGTCCCCAAGCGCGATTTCATTCGCAACTGCTATCGCGGCAAACACCTGACACTGCGCACCTTCGACCGAGTAACCTCGAAGACTTCAGTAGGTCATAGCCAAGCGCGTCCTATACAGTTCACTGCACTAACAACCGACCGCCGGTCAGCTCGCGATGGAAGACACTCAAGGGTTCCGCTTCCTCGATCTACCCAAGGAAATTCGCCTGGAAATATACGACCTTTTCCCTGCCGAGACCCGTCGCTACACGGTGCAAAAACCAAATAGGCCATCCATCACACCCTTCACCCTAGTCTTGGAACGCATCCCTTGTATGGCACTACTCACTACCTGTCGCCAAACATTCCACGAAGTCTCTGCCATGCTAGGGTCAAGATTAGATGGCCAACCACTTCGTATCTTCGCCGATGCGGGAGACTTGTGCCACACGGTCCTCAACGTTATATCGCGTTATGCTTCACCTGACTTCCAAGACGAGCCCTGGGCAATACGCATTAAACGCTATAGTGCTAGTCGCCAAAGTGGCCCCGACAATCAGGATGTGCCCGAAGTCCCGCCTCAGGCTCTACATCACAGTATGACGGCAACTGGCTCGAGGCTAGAAGTCGAGATAGTTCTTGAGCTTGGCGATGTACCTGGACAGACTCCCCGAAACTTGCGGCTCATGAGAGATTATATACGCATATTCTACGAGTGCGTTGTGGACATCGGATGGTCGTACGGTTTTGCCTACGACCCCGTCAATATCACAATCCGGCCCAAGCTGACAGCAGACATGAGTGAGAAAACAATCAGCGATGAGTATCGATTCCACTTCGAGCAATACCAAAAGAAGTTTGGGCTTGGTAAGAGGTGGACTTGTCAGTTCGGTAAGGGCATGACCGAGAGGGAGTGGCAACGCAACTGGGAGGAAGGCAAGCACTTTGGAAAGTTGAAGCAGATCTAGCAGCTTCATGACTTCACAGGAGATCATGTCACAGGAGAAGAGGTGGCTGGTTCGAAGTTACAAACGGTTAAAGCATCGTTACCCGATTGCAGTGTAATGAACCGCGCACCGAGGATGTTCTAGTAGGGAAACCTATATCGGGTTTCTTGGTATCAACATAAAAACAAGTATTGTAGATTCAGAAAGCCTTCCATGAATATTTATCGTCTGTTTGTGCGTATGATTGAAACGAGGCTGTGGAAATTGCTTATGTCGAAGCATTGATAATCGCCTCGCAAGACATCCAAATACCGCCTTTAGCAACTATATATCTCGAACTAGGTCAAGCTAAAGGCTTGAGGATGCAGCATGTTGACGCTCCAACACCCAGAGTAACCAAATTCGTCATTGCCTCGACGGCACTAACCCCCCACCCTCTTTCTCCCTCCACCATCAAACCAACCTACAAGCAATCAAGACCCATCACTATTAACAGCAACCCCGAAATCGCAAAGCGCAGCTAATAAAAGCAGGTTTACGTACCCACCATGCGCTACAAACCCGGCTGAGCGGTCGCCCTACTATCGTACGACCCTCGCCAACGGGTCACCCCACACGCATCCCGGCAACGCCCGAACACCGTGTTCTTGCTGTACATGTCTCGCCACCAAAACTCTTTTGTCGTGAATCATTGAGGCGTATCAGACGATGTGATCGTATACTCGGTGATTTCGACGAATGGTTTTGCGGAGTGTCTGTCGTGTCTCATGATCCCAGGGACTGGGTTGGAGTTTTCGCATGTTGGTGTGAGGCGCATGTCTCGATGCTGGTGACATGTGATCACGCAACCAAGCTTTGTGAGGAGAGATTTGGTATCGTCGGCAGGTACCGACACTGTGAGTATTGCTTCAAGGAATCGTGATAGATATAAGGTAAATGGGTTTCTTCGGTTGTCGTTCATCATCTACATCCAGTCACATCCATCTTCAGCGATACAACCATATCGACCTTGACCTCCTCAAATCGCACATACAGTAGAATCATCCTGCATAAGAACCTTCAAATTCTTTACTACTACCAACCATCAACAATCCCACCAAGATACCCGAGCAACTATAAAACGATAAACCACACACAACACATACCACCAACCCAACCAAAATGCCAGCAGTACCGCGATCCTACCTCCCCTCCTTCGCCGCCTTCCTAGGTAAGCCTCACCACCCTATCTCCCGTTCTCCTTCCTCAATCACATCCAACATCCAACTAACAAACCACCCCAGCATTCGGCATAACCTACACAACCATCGTCGCCGCAAAAGAAGGCGCAGCCGTCGACGGCGCACGAACCCGCTGGCAAGACCAACATGCACGAGCGAGGAACGCATTGAGTGGGGGTATGACTCTGGCAGATATGGAGAGGAAGTGAGACGAAAGAGGGAGAAGAAGAATTCCAGTTCGAGTGTTTGTATACTAGGGGTAATAGGCGTTCTGGGTCTTTTGCACGTGATGGATTGATGAAGTGGATCCAAGGCGTACAACAATTCATCATACTTTTGAGTAAATACGTATATCTAGTAGGAGAGACTTGGTTGTTCCAGTCATCCAAATACAGTGTATATACCACTACACAGACACACACACACATACTATCTATCCTCCGCATCTTACCCTACCAACAACATACATACCCCCACCCCGTTTCCCTCCTCCTCCTCCCCACATCCCTGCAATTCACCCATACAATCTCCATTATACCCCCAGGATACCCCCCCTATAACACTATCCCCAGTATACGCATCGGGAGTCAATGATAGTACCCGGCGCATAAGGACCACCAATGCAACCTCTCTAAACCGTTCTAAAACACGAGGGCTCGTTGCAATGAGGAATGCGCGAGGTGGAATGTGGAGAAATGTTATATTAAAAAACGGTGGTCGGGATGCGATATCGGTATGCAGGGTAGACGTGCATTGGGGCAGGGTGCAGATACGGGGGGAGGAGGACGGAGGGTTCGGGTGGTTAATCTGGGTAAAGAGTTGTAGGGCAGAGGGCGGCGTGGGGGGGTGGGAAGGATTGGGACCGGGCGGATGGATGGATGGATGGATGGATGGCGACACTGTAGTCAATGAGTGAGAAGGGGCAGAGAAGAAGAAGTCATCACAGTAAAGCATGTAGGACAAGAAGTAACTTCATCACTATATTCAATCCCCACATCCGCCTCTACGTAACCCCAGTCCTGACTACTTCATCGACCCCCAACAGACCTTGGGGTCAGAATATATCTACAAGAAAACCCATTGCCCGTTGAACGCCATCCAGAACACAGGATCAAGGTACGCATGACCAACCATCGCGCAGTACCGAAAAGAACAAAGGAAAAGCAAAAGAAGGCCTACTCGCTGATTGCGGCTGAAACCCAAGTCGCATGTCGGAACAGCCGACTTGGATATATATGATCAAACAAAGGGAATCGTTACAATCATGTAGGACAGTCTATGAAAAACTAAAATCGCTGCAGTGTTTGAGAAGGAAAGATCAGAGTGGGACAAATTGTAGAGTCATTGGCTATAAGTCAAACGACGATGTGATGTCGGCTAATCTTTGCATGGCGGGGCTCATGGCAGCAATCTTCCTCGCCAGACGCTCTGCTAGAAGTGCCTCGTTCGCTTCGTTTGAGATGACTAGCGAGTAGTGTGCGAAGGCCTTCTCGGGGTTGGCGAAGAGTGCCTCGTGGTCCTCAAGCGGTGCGGCGGCAGTGGTTGAGGGAGCGGACGAAGAGTAGTATAGGTCGTACTCGGCATCTACCTCTTCGGTCTCATCGGCGGCAGCGGGAACGGTGGGCTCGGACTGGACAGGGCGCTCGACGATGGGGTAGTCAGCCTTGACCTCCTCGACAGTCGAGTCGTCCTCGGCGTTCAGGATAGCGCTGTATCCCTTGCCAGACATGGCCTCGATGTCGAGGGGGTTGGTAGGACCCTCAGGCAGCTCAGTGACGGCGAAAGCAACGGGTTGCTGGAAGTTGAAGCCATTGTTAGCACCCCAGTTGTTGCCATTGTTGGTGTTCAGGTTGAGCATAGCAAAGTCGAGTTGGGGCTCGGGGACCATGGTCATACCAACGTGGGTGTTCTCGGCCTGCGACATGCCGTTGAACTGCTGTTGTTGCTGGAACTGAGTGGGGGCAGGAGCAGCGGCGACGGGTGCTGCGGTTGATGGCATCGAAGTCATGGGGGCCTTGGCTTGGAGCGACTCGTCGCGAGAGAGCTCCTCGAGGAAGGGAGTGAAGGCCTGGTGGCGGAGCAGACGCTCGATGAATGCGCGCGAGCGGGCGTTCTCCTCCACGAGGAGGCGGTTCTGGGAGCGGAGTTCGTTGGCCTCGTTGACCTTCATGGCAACCTCGCCTTCGAGCTGGCCAATGTATTCTGGTTGTGTTAGTTGATGTTGCACATGTAGTGGGGTCGTGGTAGCTTACCCTTCCTTCTCGAGCGGAAAGCGCGAGCGGAGACCTTGTTACGGAGCTGGCGGCGCTCCTTGGAGCTGAGCTTCTTGCCCTCCTCAGACGCAAGCAGCCTCTCGTCCTCGTCCATATCCTCTTCGTCCTTCTTTGCGCGGATGATGTGGGGGAGAAGGCCTTGGTTGTCGTTGGCCATGTTGGCAGACGCGTTCTGGCTGTCGGCCCGGATCTGTGCGACGACGCGGGTGATCATCTCCTCGGTGTGGGCGTCGCTGAGCGGGCTCGAGGTCTTGCGGCTGGCCGAGCTGGTGGAGGCCATGCGGTTCTGTTGCTGTTGTTGCGCTTGCTGCTGCTGTTGTTGTTGCTGTTGCTGGAGGGCCTGCTGTTGCTTCTGGTGGGCCAACTGCTGTGCGCGCTGCTGCTGGGCCTGCGCCTGCGCCTTGGCCATGGCAGCCTGCTGTTGATGCATACCGGGCCAAACCCTGACGTTGGTGACCTCCTCTTGTGTGATGGCGCTGGGGTCGACGAAGTCGTCTTGGGCGGCCTCGTTGAAGACGAAGCTGTTCTGGCGGTAGTCGACGGCCATGTTCATGCCGACGTCCATGGGCAGGCCGTTGTTCCAGGCGCCGTCCATCATAGAGTCGCCGCCCATCATGGCCATCTCGTCCAAGCCAGTGGACGAGAACATGGGGAAGCCCGTGTTGTAGCCGGCATTAAGGCCGGGAAGCGAGTTGGTAGGCAGGCCGGTTTGCTGCTTGAAGCGCTCGTACTCGTGGCTGGGCTTTGCGGGGGTCTGGAGGTCGTCGTCGATGTTTGTGCTGGTGGGACTGGCCATAGTCGATGTCGCACTGGACTCCCGCTTCAGAGTGGCAGGCTGCGTGGGCGAGGGCATCTGGCCAAAGTCGAAGAACTCATTGGGGTCGACGCATTGGTTCGGGTGGCCGTTGAAGGGGGCCATGGTCATGGCAGGCTGGACGGCGGTAGCCATGTCGCTATTGTTTGTTCGACTGCTGGGGAGTCGCTGATCGTGTTTGAGCGGTCCTTAGGCAGGCAAGCGGCAGTCTTGGGGTGTTGTGTTGCGGGCACTGGGTGCGTGACAGGAGCGGTTAGCCTGCTGGAAAGTCGTCGTCAGCTCGACGCTGGGCCGGTTCTGCCGGAAGTGTGGCTGTGCCGATGGATCCGCGCCTCCTGCGAGCACGTTTGTTGTGATAGAGCGAGTGTGTTGGTGGTGAGAGTATTGTTGTTGCTGGTGTTGATGCAGAGTGCAATTGTCGGATGAGAGTCTGGTGGGAGAGAGGCAGAGCGAGGGCGAGGATGGGCGACGGCGGCTTCTTTGCTGGGGCCCTCGCCCTTGCCGTTTCAGACTGAGGCGGAGTCCCCCTTCTCGAAATAGAAGGAAGCAGGCCCAACCCGGTTGGCTCGCTCGCCCGCCGATCACTGCCCTCCGCCCAGCAAACTTCGGCTCTTCCTCTCTCCTGAGCGCCGGGTCATCTCGTCGGCTTCACCATTCTTAGTACACTAGACACAATATCAGCATAATGCTAATTCTCGGATATCTGTTGCCCCT